TGAGATTTACAGCCAGGAACTGAAGGAGGCTTCCTGTGAGCCTGCTGCCAGTGACTTAAGTTGGTGATATCTGAAGTTGAGCGATTTTTGCTAGGTGTCTGCAGATGCGCCAGATGAAAGGAATCCATGAGAGCTGAGAATGAAAGGCCGAAACACGGAACCACCCCTCCTCTCCTTACTCCAACAAGGCAAGCTGAAAGCCCTATCAAGACACCAACACCCACTGTTTAAATAGGCAAGTGAATGGATGCCTGAGATCCAGAAAGGTGACTAGGTAATTAGAGGTACAGATGAGGCAGGTCCTGGGTGTGGGGTGTGGGTTGGCAAGGGAAGCCCTCCCCACATCCTGCTGGACAGGGTGCCTCTAAGTGTCACAGCCTTGCAAGACTCAAGCAAAAGACACGTGCCAGCATCAAGACACTGGTTCTGGGTGTGTTTGGCTTCTTAGGGTGGGATATAAAAGGAAGAAGGCCCTAAACAGTGCAAGAATGCAGATCCATTTTACATTGCTTGTCTGAAGGGCTTGAATGCACTTTTAAATCCTGATGCTATTGGATGCACTTAGAACAATACCTTCATACATGTGTATGTATGTATATATATAGATATAGAGTATACATAATAATAAAATAATATATAATAATAAAATAATGTTGTTGTTGTTGTTATGTGCCATCGCGTCGCTTGCGACTCATAGCAACCCTATGTACAACAGCCCTAAACTCCGCTCTGTCCTGTGCCAATCGCACCGTCTCTGACACTCCCATCCCAATTATCCCAGTCACTGAATCAATCCACCTTGTAGAGGGCCTTCCTCTCCTTCGCTGTCCCTCCACCCTCCCAAGCATGATGTGTAATAAAAGAATATATACTAATAAATAATATATAAATAATTTACATACACACAAATGTATGGCGACCTTGGGAGGTTTGATGGCTCAGTGGTAAGAGTCTGTGCTTCCAATCCAAAGGCAAGTATTTGTAATTCATCAGTTGCTCTGAGAGAAAAAGATGGGCAGTCTCCTCCTGTGCCATTCTGGCCTCTGAAAACCCACTGGAGGGGCAGCTCTGAATCCATTTTTATTTGAAGGTACATAACAACAACAATACATATAAAATAACATATACATAGGGAGCTCTGATGGCCTCCTGGTTAAAAAGGGGTGTTTTGTCAACCTAAAGGTAGGCAGTTCGAACTTACCACCTGCTCTATGGGAGAAAGATGGGTAATCTCCTCCTGTGTGATTTACAGATTCTGAAAACCCACTGGAGAGTCAGCTATGAGTTGGTTCTGACACAATGGCATATAACAACAACTAAAACAACAGCAACAACTAAATATGTATATATATATATTCTAATGGCAAGAAGCTGTGCAGCAACCCCAAAGACACACGGTTCAAATCCACCAGCTGCTCCATGGGAGAAGGAGGCGCAATCTTCTCCCATGCGATTAACTTTCTCTGAAAACCTGCCACAGGGTCAGGTATGGATCAGTTCTGACTCGACAGTACACAACAACAACAAAAACACATATACACACACACACACACATCTTAATATATATTTTATAGGGAGCTTTGGCGGCCTAGTCCATAGTTACAAGTGCTGGAATTCCTGAACACTTAAGTTTGCAGGTTTGTTTGTACAGATCTTGTACATAAGCCAAGAGGCAATCATTTTAACAATATGAGATAGTACAGGGTTTAAAGTCAAGAATGGCGTGCGCCAGGGTTCTCTCTTCTCACCATACTGTTCACTTTTCACAATGACCAACTAATCAAAAAACATGGACAATATAGGGAAGAACATAGCATCAGGTTTCAAAGATTCATGAGCAACCTGCCTCATGCAGATGACACAACCTTGCTTGCTGAAAGCAAGGGGACAAGAATCATAGAAGAAGATAAAAAAACTATAGGTTACATTTCAACAAAAATCTCCCAGATCATCGCTGGATCAATAAGAACATCATCACAGGGGAAAGATTGGAGTTGTCAAAGTTTCCTTTTGTTTGTGCAATTAACACCTAAGAAATCAAACAACATATTTGAAGGAAACTGCAAAAGAAATGTTTTAAATGCCAAGAATTAAATATTTTAAAATGTTTCAAAGTTTTGCATGCAAAGATTTTAAAGATATGTTTGTAGACTAAGGCTTGGCTTAATTAACAGACAACACCCTTGCCTTGGTTCCAGCAGTCAGGAAATTGGGACACGTATTGAACTGAAAAACTGCTGTTTGAGACCTCTCCAAAATGTGGAACAGCAGTGATGTCAGTTTGAAGACTAAAGTGCATCTGATTCAGGCTGTGGTCTTCTCAATCACCTGCTGTACATCAGAGAGTTGGACAATGAATAAGGGTGACAGGAGAAGTGTTATGCCTTCTCCAGTAGTGCTGGAGAAGACTATAGAACATACCATGGACTGCCAAGAGAACAGATACATCCTGAAAAGAGTGCAGCCAGAGTGCTTCTTGGAGGCAAGGATGACAAAGCTTCATCTTTCACATTTTGGACATGTAGCTAAGCGACATCTTGCTTGGAAAGATGGAGGATCATTGAAGGAGAGGAAGAGCCCCAACGACATGGACTGACATTGTGACTTCAGCAATGGGCTCTAGTGTCTCAGAGATGAGGAGGATGGCATGCAATGGCACAGTATGGCAGGATTCAGGCTGGCTATCCATAGGGGTATCCAGGTTCAAAATTGGGAAGGGTGTACGCCAGGGATGTGTCCTGTCTGCATACCTTTTCAATTTATATGCAGAACAGATAATCCGGGAGGCTGGGCTCTATGAGGAGAAATGTGGGGTCAAGATTGGTGGAAGATCTATCAACAGTCTGTGATATGCAGATGATACAACCCTGCTTGCTGAAACTGAAGAGGACCTGAAGCGCTTGCTGCAGAGGGTCAAGGACTGCAGCCTCCAATACGGATTGAG